ATGTTCTCAGTGATATTTGATTGATCATGATAAGATATATAACGAGAGATAGCTGTTCTAAGATAAATTTGTCCAGGTCAATCAGCGACGACAGGAATAATATATCCTTTTTGGATATATTGCTGCATAGATGGAACATTTACAACGATATTAATAGCTCTAACATAGTCATCCAGAGAATGAAGATTATTTTCCTGTAAGTCTACAAGAATAACATCCTTCATAGAACGAGCATTCCGTGTTTTTTTCAACTTAATGTCATAACTGTGTACAGTTAACTCTTCCAATCTAGTATCATCATCAACTATATGAAATCCCCAACGTCGATTGTGCGAAAAATCATAAAGCGTCATGAATCTATTTTCCAGATTCATTTTTATTAACTTGGCATCAACCAATGCAGAATTGTGTACATTCATCTTTGGAATTGCTTTTTGTGTAGTAATCAGATTCATCAAAATTGTTGCCAGATATGCTGCAGTAGAAGTGATGATCGTATTCGGCATCCGTTTTGTATGAATACTATGATAATCATCAATGTTCAATATCATTGCATTCTCCGCATGCTCAACAAGAATAGAATCGACTGTTTTAGCATGTTCTTTAGATACATTAGTCTTATGTCGTGTGATTGTACAAGACATCGTAGTTACACCCAAATCAGCAAGAGTATCTATAGAGGTGTTAGAAGTACCGGTAGAAGCCAAATATATCGCTAAATCTCTCTTTGCATCATTAACAAACTTGTTCTGAATTCCACAAAGAAAGTAACATATGAATAAGAGTTGCTTTTTGATCCGCGCCTGTGAATCTTTATTTTTTGTGGATGGATTAGATGAAAAATATAACTCATCAAAAAAGGATTTTAATCTCGTATCCTCCCTTTTCATAACTACACGAAATTTATCAAATGAGTATAATGTTGATTTTTTCTCTGTTTTCACGAATATATAAGATGTTAGTTATTATTTCTATTGCTTGGGAAAAAGATAAAATGATATTAGTATTTTCAATTTCATTAGTCTTCTCAGTTTCATTAAGTTTGTGTCATTTTGTACTAGCTTGAACATGATGCTGAAATTCACGCGAATTATTTACCATAATTCTATTATAACAATTTAAACAAATTGTATTGTCTATTTGGATATAATCTGGTAAAGTATTATTGGCTTGATCTTTGACAATAACATTTTTAGTTACCTTTTTCCATCAGTTTGACTGTCTTTGGCATATTGTAATTACGCATGGACCAGTAAGAGGAGTTGACGGTGGCATGTTTAAAGTACTTCTGGATTTTGGATTATTTTGAGATTATTTTGCGTCGAGTATGTTAACACTTTTTTGTAACTAAAAACAATAGTTATTTTATTTTCTACTAATAGTAATGTGATGTTCTAGTCATATTCCCGTAAAAGTACTTTAAAATGTATAAATTAAGTACCCGAGTTGTATCCGAGTAATTGATTAAGATTAGCCAATCACATAAAAGTCCTCCTATGTCGTCCGTGGCTAGGGTTCTAGTCGACATCGGATCAGAATCACATGATCTGACACTTTTTTCTCCAGTTACGAACCAAATTGGCTAATTATATTTGATGCTTGGAGAATTTTTTTAATCATATTTTATTTTCTGAATGTCTATAGTAAAACGCGCGTCATATATCCTCGTGTGACAATAACTCGTTTTCCAGTCCGACAAATCCGTTATATATAGTGAGGGGCTAGTGTTGTCGCTTGGACGCAAATCCAGCAATTTGATTGGTTGGGACAAGCGTCCCGACCAATCAAATTGCTGGATTTGCGTCCAAGCGACAACACTGAGTGAGGGGTGAGTGTATATCTGAACTAATTAAAAAGTAACCAAAACGAAATTTGTTCAATTTGCACCATATTTATTTATTTATAATTCTACTTTCAAAAAAACAAATATATTTTTATCATTGGTAGCAATAGCATGTATCATTTAACGATAGGTTATCCGCCAAACCCATAAATTGTACGTCCTTGCCGTTTTAAAGCATACACTATTAATAAAAAAGAAAGAATTCACGCCATAGTCAAAGATAAGCATATATGCATAGAGCAATACAACGTATGCAAAACAAAACAAAGAACACAGGCAAAATTAGACAGAATTAGAAAAAATGTACAATTATTAGCCAGACAACACCATTATCGTTTCGTTTAATACTCACCAACATCCAGACTTGTAACAGTTTTTCTTTTCGCATGTTCAGTATAAGTGACCGCATCACGAATAACATGTTCCAAAAATACTTTTAAGACTCCTCTTGTCTCTTCGTAGATAAGACCTGAGATACGTTTTACGTCTCCGCGACGTGCTAGACGACGAATAGCAGGTTTTGTTATTCCCTTCAAAAAAAATAATTACAATGATTAATTAGTCAATTAATTGAAACAAGAGAATAAGATAGTTAAATAATATTGAAAGATATTTTACTTGAATATTATCACGAAGAATTTTTCGATGTCTTTTTGCACCCCCTTTTCCAAGTCCTTTACCACCTTTACCACGTCCAGACATATTTTTATTGTTATTGTTATAAAGAAATTAATAGATAACAAGGTAAATGAGAAAAGATAAAGTCAGCAAGGAATCCACTTTATTTATATACTGAATTTTTGGGGTCATTGTCAGGAAGAACATTCGGTTGTTGAAGCTGGAAATATTTGATAGTGTCAAACCTAAATGATGCATGCACCCTTTTTCAGAATTACCTAAAATATCACGTGGAAAATGACATTTCGATTTCCGGACAGTGCAGGATCACGTGGCCTTCAAAAAGAAAATTGACGTTAAAGGTTATATTATCGTTTGAATTAGAGTTAGGGTTAGAGCTGTAAAATTATTTTTTATTACTTCAAGCTAGATTTGACATCTGTTTTCCACATTTTTTATTTTCTTGTGTGATTCATCACTGTCCCCGCGTTTCGATTTACTCATTGTGCACGTGACCTATCTTGAGCGAACGCGTAATTATTAAATTTTCCTAATTTGAAAGTCTTAATTAATACTTATTTATAATGCTGTTAAAATTTTTCGACCCAAAAACTCTTTATAAAGTAGCTCATAGTGGTTGTTATGGTGTTGGTGGTAGTGGCGGCGCTTGGATAAATTCACGGAGCCTTTTGTTCGCACGTTATTCGACATTCAACTCGTTTTCTAGTTCTATTGGAAGTGAGCCAACACCAAGCCCTAGTAACTCTTATGCTCAACCAAGGCAACGAGTACTTGAACAAAGTCAAGCACAGCCACCCTCACAACAACCGTCACCTTCAACACGTGCCAATATTTTACCACAAGAAAGCAACACTTTTACTGGTACACCTCATAGAGGAAACCCTATTCTTCCAAGACCTGTTCCTTATAGTTCTCCGCCTCCAGGACAGAATATTTTTTTTCAAAATAATAGAAGTATAGGCGGCGGTGCATTACCATTTGTTCCAGAACGCAGTAATATGCAAAAGTAAATCGACAATTATTACATATATAATTATTCGCATAGAAATTCATAAAGAAAAAATTTATTCTTTGCTTAAAAATTAAATAGGCCTATCCCACAGCAACCACCTCCACCACGTCAAAAATATGGCCAAGAGCCATCATTGCCATCCATCAACTTTCAAAATAACCCACGAATATATCCTAACAATGTAAATTATAGGGGACATAATCCAAACCAGATGTCGCCGCCTCCTACCAACAACGGTGGACCTACCAATTCTTACAATGCAAATTATAGGGGAAGTAATCCAAACCAGATGCCGCCACCGCGATATAACATGCCATCAAATCCTGGCCCAGTGCTAATGTCAATGCCAACTTCAGAATCAAATCCAGGTCAAATGCCGCGATATAACAATAACATGATGTTAATGCCAATTTCCGCATCAAATCCAGGGCAACAATTTGACTATATACCACTAAATCTTGGTCAAATGCCGCGATATACCAATAACATACAAACCCCAATGCCAATGCAAATTTCCGAATCAAATACAGGACAACGATTTGACAATATTCCACAAAGTCCTGGTCAAATGCCGCGATATAACAACATGTTATCAAATCCCGGCTCAATGTCAATGCCAAGATATAACAATATGTCAATACCAATACCACGATATAACAATATGCCGCAGTATCCATTGAGACCAAGATTCCGAGCTTGGACTAATGACGAAATTGATAGATTGCGCAAAGGTGTTGAGAAATACGGTAAAAATTTCGAATTGATTTCCTTAGAGTGGTTCCATCGCATAAGGTCTGCAAGAGCATGCCAGATGAAACACGACTCTATACAAGATAGTATCCATAAGCTGTGGACTAGTGACGAAGTTGATAGACTGCGCAAAGGTGTTGAGAAATACGGTAAAAATTTCGAATTGATCTCCTTAGAGTGGTTCCATGGCATAAGGTCTGCAAAAGCATGCCAGATGAAACACAACAAAATACAAAATGGTGTCACTGCGATAAAGAAACATCTACAAGATAGAACCACTTCGACATCAAAAGAAAATTCTCCCGATAAAAATATCGAAACAGAAAGCACAAATAAAAGTGATCCGTTGGATGTACGCCTCGGAGAATTATTTGACAAAGAATTGTACCAGATAAACAGAACATTCGGAAAATCAGCCGAGAAAATACAAATAATCTATGACACGCCTTCATCTCCAAACAGAGCTTGGACAAAAAAAGAGAACAATATACTCTTTAAGTCCGTAAAGGAACTTGGGGATGATTGGGCCAAAATATTAGAGAGATTACCCGGACAAACATTAGCATCCGCAAAAAGTCGTTACGGTGATAAAGTTTGGACATTAGAAGAAATCACCGCATTCGATGAAGCCTTTTCAAAACACGGAGAAGACTGGGCAAAGATAGGTGAAAATATCCCTACGAAAACCGCTGGGCAGTGTTGGTCATATTGGCGTCGATCCACCGGTGCAGATTTACCATTACCAAATGAATTGGAGAATAGTTCAGGTAAAAAAATAATTGGTACTTACTGAAAAAAAAATATTTATGCGAAAATATAGCAATAACGGATCTGGACCCACTTTTTCGTCATCATAATTACATGCATTCTAGCCAAACCTCACCGGGTGTACATTTCAATTCAATTTCTCGAAGAACTACCTATAGAATTACAGTTCATTCGACATCACAAATGGGAAATTTTTACCCGAGAAAATGCTACAATCATTTCTACTAAATTGAATAATCCGATCGTATCTGCCGAGGAAAAAGGAAAGTCAGAGGAAAATGATCAAAACACATTATATATAACTAAAGAAAGTGTCAAGCCTGTAGATGAAAATAAAATATACAATAAAACGGAAAATATCTTAGTGTTTAGTAATGAAAAAGAAAAGGAACAAGAGAACTCAGATCTGAAAGGGGAAGATAATGACTTGGATCTTAGAAGCGACGAGGATTTAGAGCTAAAGGGAGAACATGATTTGGGCACGATAATCTCGAATTGAGAGTAGAGATGTTACGGTTCGGTCTGATTCAGTCCTAGACCGGTCTTAAACCGGTCTCGTAAACCGGTCTGAACTCCTTCAGTTTGTGGTTTAATCAGTCTTTGAATCTGTCCATTAATAATATTATAAATGATACTGATACACATGCACATCACATAATAATAATGATAAGCAATCGACATTAATATTGTTAATATTAACGTCAACTTTAAGTAAAATAGCAAAATAACAAAATCGTTGAAGCTTTATAAAGCTCAACAAAAAAGGCTAGATTCAATATATTTATATACTTTGATCTTTGTTTGAGCACGATATTATATCCATTGTTATTATTCTCATTGTTAATTTTTAATAATGCCAATTTTACCAATTTATAAATGAATTTATTTTTGTTGCGTCTGTAAGTAAAATGAATAATACCAAAGAAACAGAATTAGAAATTATAATAGCGAAAACTTTAATGATAATACTTTTCAATGCAATTATCAGTTTGGTTATATTTTGATAAAGAAATATCTGAACATCATGAATATCCAGTTTGTTGTAAATGTAAACAAGTACTTGCAAAGTTTACTGGTGTTTCTACATTAAAAAGACATCTTGAAAATAAACATCAAATAACAGTACCAGCAAAAAAGCAAATTACATATCAGATTTATCAAGCTAATTCTTATAATCAACAAGAACAAAAATGCAATAATAAATTAGTTATTTGGCTAATTCTAGATCAACAACCATTTACTATGGTTAACAATCAATTATTTTATGATTTTCTTTATATTTTGAATTCTCATTATATTGTACCAACTAGATAAGCAACCAAAAATATAATTATTAATGAATTTAATTAATAATGTGAAAAATTGTTAATGATATTAAACAGATTTTTAATAGAATTTCTTTCTCTCATAGCTAATATATGAATATTTTTAAATAATAAAGCTTTTTTGAATTTTATTATTTATTATATAGATACTGATTGAAAACTTCAATATTTTTTATTAGATATATTAAATATTATTAGTTTTATTTTTAATGAATTTGAACTAAAAAATAAAATTATGATACTTATTATAAATAACAAATCAGTTATAGTATTATATAATCATTTTTTAATTGCAGAACTTGAAACAAATTTGAATTTATTATTCTAATTAATTATATAAAATATTAATATCTTTTTATTTTTTTTCAATATTTTAATATTTTTTATTTCTTTTGCTCAAAATTTCAATTTTTATAAATATATCTACAGTCAAATCCCTCTATAGTCACATTCATTTATAGTCACATCCCTTTATAATCATCCTATTTTGCTTTCCTATTTACATATAAATATAGTAAAAAAATCCCTCTATAGTCATATTCTCTTTATAGTCACCAAATATTACTTTTCCGAGAGTGATAACTATAGAGAGATTTGATTGTATTATTAATCTATATAATTTTATAGAATTTATTAACAATTTATTAAATATTAATTTATTCATATTAAAGATGACACAGCAACTATTACAACATAATGACAAATAAAGCATTACCTAGTTGCAATTAGTTGCAGCTTATAAAATTTTGAAGTTGCAACATGTTGCAATGAGTGACAAATAAATGTCACGTACTTGCTGCGCTATCTCTAATTCATATAATAAATATAATTAAATTTCTTTATAATCATATTCATTTATAGTTATATTCTTTTATAATTATCTTATTTTGCTTTTCTATTTATATACATATAAATATTATAAAAATTATTTTATAATCATATTTTCTTTATAGTCATCAAATTTTGTTTTTTTAAGAGTAATAACTATAAAAAAATTTATATAATAACAAAAAAGAATAATTTTAACTTTTTATTTTTATAATTTATTTTATATATATATATATATATAATTATTTAACAATATCCTATATTTATTTATTTTTGAAAATAAACAAATATTAAAAGAAATTCAACAATTTATTAATTATTTATTTATTAAAATTATTGTAACAATTTTCACATACCCTTGTAATTTCTTGTATCATGTTTATCCTTTTTTGTGTTATATTTATCATTTTTTTTTGCATAACATGTAGAATTTAACACAGATCTACATTTAATATTTCTTAATGTTGCGCTAATTAGATTAAATGTAAAATGTAGATCATATTATTAATTTGGATACACATTGTTTTTAATTACTTTTATTTTTATTCATTCTTTTTCTTTTTC